GGTGCTGGTTCCAGTCAATGAGACTGTCGGCAATACTGAATATGGCGTAAGTGGAATGCCTTGTAGAGTCAAGGACCAGGGACAATGAAGTGATGGGAGGGACCATGTGCCTGACCGTCCTCTCTTCGCCCAATTTGGGCGACGACCACCTATGAGCCCTCAACTGGTGAATGGCATAAATCTAGTGGAATTACATAGTTTTCTTGACTTGTGTAGTTGATTGGGAGAATGAACTCTCTCGGTTATGCATGAATTACATAGTTTCTATAAGGTTTATTACCTCGCCAACGTTGGTTGACATTCGACCACATCGTCCTTTCCCCGTCACCAGACTACAATAGCCAGCTCACGACATCAAACATTGGCATCAAGACTCGTAGGTATGACGAAAAATAAAGAATAGGATAGGAACCATCTGTGCTCGTCATGGTCTCGTCAATGTGATCTCGCCCTAGTCCTGGGAGCTGCCTGGCAGCTCACCAGAGAAGGAAAAGCAATGGAAGAGAAGAGAAGTCCGCCCACGGCATAAATATGACTACAAAAGGTTTATATTCTGTCCCTTCTAAACACCGCCGCCTTTTTTGTGTCTTGCTAACCTGCTCCTCCTCCTTTCATAGATTCTCCAAATGCACCTGAGAGGAAGGATAGAGTAATTTTACATTATTAATCCGTAGTATAACCCCAGTATCGCACGGAAGGTCTGGATAAGCGCAAGATTTACAAAGGAGAACCACAGCTGTACATGTAGATCAAACCTCTGATATACCAATACACTGTTAGCGTGAAAAGAGTAGAAGATCCGTGCATAATCTACTTGGACTATGAATCCTGAGCTTCTGAAAAGGATCACGGAAAGTTTATTCACGGGAGTGCGAAGGCTTCGAAGGGTGTTACAGGCTAGCCGACCAATGAAGACAGCTCATGGATATCGATTCATTTCATTTCTAAGAATACACGCTGACAATAACATGACGCTCAGGTTGCACAAGTGAACCCTGGTCGTATCTGTGCACCAATCTTTGAGATGTCTGGGTGTCAAGAATGAAAGGAAGCTAGCGCCCAATCTAAGACCACTCACTTTGTTCTTCCGCAAGTTAAACGCCTAGATGGACGAATGGAATCCAGTCGGTGAGTTGAATGCCCGGCTGCTTGCGAAGATTTTGTACCGAAAGGTGCAATGCCTCTGCAGCCTTCCTAGAATCTGGTCGGTCCCCATTCTCCACGATATGTCTATAGAATTCGTCCGTCACCACAGGCGCGAGTTCGTCTTGAATAGACCACATCGTCGCCACTACGCTGCGATACCCGGCCAATAGCATTCCACCAGCAATGTGAACCGCTTCCTCCGAGAGGTTCTCGTCCCCAGTCGTCGTTTGGCAGGCAGAGAGAAACGCAAATTCCGCTCGGGGAAGGTTGAGTTTGATGATTTCGTCAAGCGTAAGGTGTCCGTCCTCAAGTAAAAGTGCGCTTTTGGTAGGTTCGTCTGGTCTCTGGATGCCGTGACACGCTAGGTGAAGCCAGTTACACTTCTCCATAGCCTTTACTACCCGCCTTTTAGTACCCGCCTCTCCTTCGAGCACAACATGGTCGTGATTGGCAAGGCGCTGTTGAATATGTTCCAACTCTTGCTTGGTGCTGGGAATAGAGGATGCTCCAGGCGCTGAGGATTGGATTACGGACAATAGACTAAAGGATGAGATGGGATCAGCTTTGGGTGGGTGGAGTAGTGTGGATAGCGTAGGCGTGTAGGATGAGACAACATAGTTGCTAATCTGTGAGTCTCCTGAGTCCGGACCATATATGCCGGCTGCATGTATTGGGAGGAAAGCAAGTGGTCCGGTGGCACACCACCAGACTCGTGGAAGTACATCCGGAGAAGGCTGTCAGTATCATTAGTAACGTGAACTCAATATAAAGAGCTCAAACGGACCGAAAATGCCAATGCATCCAGTACAGGCTTGACCAAGTTATCCCAAAGTTCAGCGAGAACTTGCCCACAATCCTCCTCTGTGCTTTCATCTGCGAACTTCACGGCAGCGCGTGTAGCTCTCATCCGAATTCCACTGGAATACAGATGATTCTTCAGCCCATCTCGAAGCTCATCAACTTTCTTGGACGTGATATTTGGCAGAGGTATGTGGATGACATCTTCAAGTCCTGGTAGCAAAGCAAGTGCATCACACCGCGTCTCAGCTATATTCAGAATGATCACAGGACCATTATGAGCTGCATGTGTGAGCTGAGTCGAACTTGGGGGTCGCAAGAAGTTCTCAAAGTTTGGAATAGATCGAACTTGTTTGATGATTGACTCCCATTCTAATGTCAATACTCGATACTGTCTGCCTTCTTCAATAGATGCATGATCGCTATGGGAAAGGCCGGTTTGTTGAGAAGCGCGATCCAGTAGTCGGGAAACTTGCAATAGACGGTCACCAAGTTCGGGATGGACTACACGTAAGTGATCCACTGGGGTTCGAAGCCGAAGTATCTGTGTCCATACAATTGAGCGCCCTTGTTCTAACCATTCCAACGCTTTGTCGTATTGCTCAGCCGAGATGGCAGCGGCTACAGCCTCCCGGGTGATACCACCTATTTTCAAAAGGTGTTGGTGGCGGTCTCCTATAGGGAGACCTAGCCATGCGACTAGTGGCATGAGTTCAAGCGCACACTCATAGGCAGATAAGAGGGAGTGGTGTTCAACAAGAGATGCAAGAAGGATCCATGTTTCTACAGCCATGAAGCGGATTGCTGGAGTCCCGTCTTGCGATGTAGCGGCAGTAGAAGAATAGGAGATAGACTTCTCAGCATCTAAAGGATCATGAGATCGCTGATAGTGGCACATAAAGGACCTTGAAAGGTTGTATAAGAGGGTGACTCTACCAGAATGGCCCCACGGTGTACTCTCAAGGGCTTGTTGTAGGCTTTTTACCCCATTTTCAAAGTCGGTCGTATCTCCGAGCCGCTCGAATCGTGTCTGAAAAGAGACACCGAGGTTTGACAGGCAAAGAGACTTGTTTGGATGCGCATATGGTGTAAGGTCGACAGCCATTTGTTGTTGGACAATTGCATCATCGATATCAACTACGTTCCCAAACTGCTGAAATCTTGCGGCCAGTGAGCTCCCAAAGTTAATCAGATACATTGCTTTGTCAGGGTGATTATCCGGGGCGAGATTAGCTGCTCTTTGATGATGCATGATCGCATTATCCAGGTCAGCACTGTTTTTCAGTTGCCGAAAGCGAGCAGCGAAGGAGTTCCCAAGGTTACACAAATATATCGGCTTCTCGGGATGATTGTCTGTTGTGAGAGCAACTGATCGCTCTTGTTGTATAATTGCATTGTTGAGGTCGGCAAGATTCTCAAGTCGCTCAAAGCGACAGAGAAGAGATGATCCAAGATGGCTCAGACACTGTGGTTTCTTCGGATAGCCATCTGGTGCAAGTTCAATTGCCTTTTGCTCTTGTACTATTCCACCATCAAGATCAGCGATATTGCCAGTCCGTTGGAAGCGTGCATGGAGGGAGTTTCCAAAGTTGCCTAAATACACAATTTTTCCGGGATCGTCATCTGGTGTGAGATCTACAGCCTCTTGTATGTGAGAGATCGAACGCTCGATGTCATCGAGGTTCCCAAATCGTCGGAACCGAACCTCCAAAGAGTGAGCAAGGTTACTCAAACGAGTAGCCCTGCGCGGATGATTATTGGGTGTGAGACTGACGGCCGCTTGTTGCTGTTGAATTGCCGCATCGATATCTTCAAGAGCTCCTCGATATCTGAAGCGGACACAGAAGGCATTTCCAAGGTTGCTCAGACCACCAGGCTTGCCTGGGTCACTGTCAAGCGCTAGACTAATTGCAACCTGGTGTCGCTCTATCGCTTCGTCGACATCCTCGAGGCACCCAAGTTGATTGAAGCGGTCAATAAGGGTTATCCCAAGGTCGTTCAGAGCGGCAGGTAGCTCTGGGTCGTCTTCGGGAATGACTTCAATGGCTCTTCGATATTGTGAGATTGAAAACTCGAGGGTTTCTAGACCTCCATGACGCCGAAAGTCTTCACGTGCATTGGATGCGTCTGCAAGCAGCTTTTCGATGCTCCCTTCTTCCGTAAACGATGCACCGCCTCCTAGATGACCATCTAGAGCAAACCTCGCAAATAGCTCTTGAAAGTTCTCGATAATTCCTACAGTCGTCTTGAGGATCAGGTTCGGGTGACTTCCATGACTCATCAAAGGTATTTCTATCGTGCAGGTTCGTTTAGACTGGGTCACGGATATAGCTACACGGCCTACCATACTGAATTCCATTGTTATTACACAGTTCCAATCCATTCAGCTCGATAAACGCGATTGCTTCCCGTTTGTTGTGGCTGTCTTCCAACAGTACGGATACCACAAAGTCTATGGCCACTTCGGGTCTAGAGATGTATATAGGTGTTTATGAGTTTTTTGTCTATTACTAAAACTGGAAGATGTACATCACTAATCTCTGATCGGCCTCCGACATCCAAAGGTTCGATCTCCGTGACAAGAGATTTATTGTATTTATGACTCGCCCACGAGCAGTGATTTCCAACACGAGTCTTTTGATATCTTTGAGGAAGTGATCTTCTCGAGACGGCAATTCCAAGATTATATCTGAGAGAAAAAGACATTAATATATGCTGGCAACCTGTTACCAGATTCATCACCTCTAAGGATCAAGAAACTAATAAACTTGTTAGAAGCTGCATGATGATTTGGTAAGAAGTTCACCTCATAATGGATCAGAAACCTAGTTGTAGTCGAGGACGGCGCGATGCTGATAATAAATGTTTGCAATTTGCCGAGACCTCATGTTCGACTCACCTATATCTCGTGCAAGAGGCACATTTGCGCGCGGGATTAACATGGAAGATAGAGGGTGGCAAAAAGAAGGAAGTCCAACTTGAGGGATGCGATTGCTATTCCCCGAGTCGTATTCTGCCAGTTGATGACCATTGATTCTCGAAATCACATGGAATACACGTTTATTTTAATTCAATGATCTTATGTAGTTCGCCTAACCGGTCAGCTGTTTCGAACTGATCGAAAATAAGCGTGTTTACTGATTTCGATTGATTACAATTAGAATAAAGAAACCGAGGGCATTAGATGGGAATTCGCTGGAATTGTCGAGAAGTAGATAGTAGCGGAGTGATGATAGGGTACAGATAGGGAACAACACAACGTAAGTTCCTTAGTATCCAGATCTCTTCGTGTGCTAAAAGAACCTTTGACATGCTTCTCTGTCCATCAAATGTATATTCAGTTCTGAAGTACAACACCTCTGGGACTTCTTAGCACAGAGGACAGTGGTGGTAAGGCGAAAGAGAATAATATAGTAGGTAAGCAACAGGCTACGGTACATGGAGAACAACAACAGGACTTTGTCTAGGTCTGACAGTCGAGCTTTTTATTTTTATGTAGCATTCAATCGAGCTCCTTTCATATATTCTAGCCTTCCCTTATTCGTCCGCCACCCGAAGCGATCTTGAGTGTTGTTTTAAATCGTCCTTCCTTCTAAAGACGGCGTCGTCTCTTGTTGTCAGGCGGACTGAGCCATTGTCCACAGAAATACAAGGGTGATTCCAATCCGAGCCACACCCTCGAGGACAGCAATAGACATATTCCGGTCTTCTGTACCTCTGGGAACCACGACAAATGCGAGACGGTCGGTCAATAAGACTATGAAGAATGGGATAGAAGGAGGAGGCGATCGACCACCTGTGATATCGTCAGTCACCAATAGATGAGGGCAAAGGTATATGAGTACACACCCGGTCAGAGAGTTTATGGTTGTTGATTTGAACAACCAAGACGACTAGCAAAGTCCACCCGAGGATCTCCCATCTATTGGGATCGAGGGCGTCGAAGACTCTGACTAAGGCCATTCACGTGACAGCGGCCACGCGAGAGTGGTACCTTGACCAAGTGGGTCCGTTTCTACCAGGCACTGATGGCTGACACTCGCCCACTACCAAGGATGGTCGCCTGAGGGTGTCTGTTGTCAAGAAACACCGAAATATTCTCCAAAAAATAACCGGAAAAGGTGGACTGAAATGAAATCGAGCCTTCGAACGCTTACCACGCCCCGCGTCGCCATGCCTTCGAGTAGGGCAATATCTCAATTTGGACGAACAATGCCGTTACAAATGACAAAATAACGTGAATTCTCATCTGGTTGGGATCTTTGATCGCGTCTTAGTCCCCGGATCGATGTCAAGTCTAGGTTACTATGCGCCCAATATCATCCAACTTCTCCCTTCTCCCTTACCCTCTACTCAAATAATACCCTCCCAGTTCTCCACAGGGTTGGAGGCTTTTATAATTCAAAAGAAAGTGCGGTGGGTATACGTCGGCCACCCCGCGCCCGCCCTCTCTTGTGGCGAGTGCCCGCACTACTCTTTCTTCTTTGCCTAAAGATACACTCATTTCATTTGGCTTTCAATTTCAATCACATACCAAATATGAAGTTCTCAGGCAGACTTTCCATCTTCTTCATGCTATTAGCCTCTGTTACTGCAGTACCTCAGAGAGAGTTTCAACCGAGTCGGGCTCAACAGACAGACACCACAGGAGCATTGCTCAAGCGGGTACCACCTCCAAAAGATGAAGGAAATGGACCAGGAAAGGGAATTGGTAACGGACCGGGAAAGGGAACTGGTAACGGAATTGGTAACGGAAACGGTGAAGGGAACGGCAAAGGAAACCCCAAGGACCCAACGTAAGCTCCTTAACATCTAGTTCTCTTCATATACTAATTCTTTGGCATGCTATACTTCTCTCAAATGTATATTCTGTTCTAAAGTCCACCAGGGAATGTAGCCCCCCCCGCCCGAGATTATAACCCCACCCGGCCCACCAGGGAATGCAGCCACACCGATCGAGATTACAACCACACTCGGTGAAAAGGCTCCTGAACTTGCTTCTCCAACAATAGGTCCCATTCCTGATCCACCAAATGGGCCCATAGACGCCGTAATTCTCCCGCCTTCTGAGGCAGTATCGTATCCGTGAGTGATATCGTCTCCGTCCATCATCCAGCATAATCTAATATAATTCTGAACGAATATCTGTCAAACAGGGCATATCTCTCGACGTATTCGTCCATCATCACTACCGCTTCAACTACCTTCTCCTCTTCAGCGTCTAGTGTCGTCCCAGCTCCCAGTACTACATCCATTTCAAATGGTATAGGGAGCTCATCTACGACTGTAGAACCTCCGACCCCATCGTCAGACCCGTCCTCTTCGTCCACCCCAACACCCAAACGCAATACATTAGGTATCATTGGGGCCATCATGGGTTTCCTTTCCTTAGTCCTGATTCTAGCCTTCCTCGGATTCTCCATCTGGAGAAAAAAGAACCGGAGAAAGCGCGCAGGGGATAAGGAATGGGATATGGCCACCAAGGAAAAACAACCCGACATTCCTCCACTCAATTTAGCCTTTCCATCACCATCATATGCACCAACTTTGCCTAGCCGAGTCTTCAGAAATACCCTTCGTTCAAGCCATGTCCCATCACAAATAGACGAAGCCGACGAGCCTGACGAGATCATGCATATACCACCCGTCGAAGCCTCTCGCGGCCTCTCTGTG